TCTCATCTTACTGGACAACCAGAGGGAACATAGGGATAACTACTCGCTACGCTCTTTGTCTTGAAGCACACGGCGATTTTCTCCAAGCCATTCTGATGTTACGCCTGTGAGAGTCATCGATATATAATAACCCATCTCATGAGTACAATGGAATCTTCTTTCATGCATCATTATCTGATTTGAAGACAAACATACCATTCGGATCATTCAACATTCTTGTCTCTTGTTCTTCCATTCTTCCGTGCAATAAAATCACAGCCATCGACTTTATTGCATATGCAACAAACCAACATATATCGTCATATTGAAGATCCTTGCCTCTCGATTATTTTCTTTGAATATCTCATCCCAATTCCAAAAAAAATCCTGGATTTTGACCCAGTTATCGCTTCGAGAGATTAAAACAAGGACCTCAGACAAGGGATCTTGGTCCAAGCTTGCGAATCAGAAAGTATCCCAGTCGTCCATCACGTTTGTCTCAGTCTTGCCTCTTTTTATTTCCTTCTTTCCCCCCGTCGAGACCTCGATTTCTTTCCGTTCTCTTTTCCTTTCCGAACCTCGACTCTCCTCTCCGTTACTTTTGCTCATACGAGCAGGAATAATATTCATCAATTACAATCCTCGAAACCAAAATCAATTGCGACTCTCTACGATATCGTGAAGATATCACTTGATAATCATGGCCGATGATAGTGGTGGATCCAGTTTATCTGGTTTGGTAGCTACTTTGGTTCCGACCTTGATTGTTGCTGCCGTTTACTTTGTAATCTTCTTGATCTTGCGAAGATCTAACGTACGATGGTATGCTCCTAGAACCTATCTGGGTGCATTGCGCGAGGAGTAAGTACATTCATTCATCACAAAGAATTCGATTCAATACTAACATCAAAATAGAGAACGAACTAAACCACTTCCATCCGGATGGTTCAATTGGATTGGTCCTTTCCGCAAAATTCCAGATATCTACGCCCTTCAACATCAAGGTCTCGATGCCTATTTGTTTCTTCGATTTTTGCGCATGACCGTGGTTATTATGTTCGTCGGTTGCTGTATCACATGGCCAGTTCTTTTCCCAATTAATGCGACGGGAGGAGGTGGCGCCAAACAACTTGATATGCTCTCTATGGGCAACATTGATAGTTCTACATCAGCTGGAAGAGATCGATACTATGCTACTTGTTTCATTGGATGGATTTTCTTTGGATTGTAAGTTCCATTTCCGTTTTCACTTTGGCACACGCCCACGTCCTTTCCCCAAGTGTCTCTCGATCCTCATTGGAATGCTCGCCGGCCGCGACCTGAAAATTTACTCACATCAATCATGTAGTGTTCTTTTCCTTGTCACAAGAGAAACCATCTATTACGTCAACCTTCGACAGGCTTTCCTCCTCAACCCAACTTTCGCAAATCGCATCTCTTCAAGAACAGTTCTTTTCATCTCGGTTCCTGCGCCATATCTCGAGGAAAGCAAACTCCGAAAAGTTTTTGGAAGTGCAGTACGTAACATTTGGATCGCTGCAGATTCCGAAAAGGTCGACGAACTTGTCGAGAAGCGTGATGAAATTGCCAACAAACTGGAAAGTGCAGAGGTCAAACTTATCAAAACAGCAAATAGTGAAAGACTCAAGGCAATCAAGAATGGTGCGAGTCAAGAAGAACAACCTGTCATGGAAGATAATGGTGAATCGGGATCATTGGCCTCGAGATGGTTACCTCAAAAGAAGCGTCCCACACACAAGCTCGGCAAATTTGGGCTATATGGAAAGAAGGTCGACACAATCAATTGGGCTCGAAGTGAATTGGAAACTCTCATCCCGGAAACTGAATCCGCTCAAAGTACTTATTTGGCTGGAGAGACCAAGAAGGTTGGATCGGTATTCATCGAATTTGCTCACCAATCGGACGCTCAAATCGCATTTCAAACTCTCGCTCATCACCAGGCCCTTCAAATGTCCCCTAGATATATCGGTGTTCATCCTAGCGAAGTTATCTGGAAATCTTTGACCATCTCATGGTGGCAGAGAGTCGTTCGTAGATTTGCTGTTGTTGGATTCATCGCCGCTCTCATCGTTTTCTGGGCCATTCCAGTCGCGGCGGTTGGTCTGATTTCAAACGTCACATACCTCGAACAATTCAGCTGGCTTTCGTGGTTGAAAGCAGTCCCCAGTTGGATTATGGGTGTAATCTCTGGTCTCTTGCCTTCTGTCGCTCTCTCGATCCTCATGTCCCTCGTTCCTATTATCATGAGACGTAAGTTATCTTTATCAAAATTGAACGACCTATGCTAATCCGAAACAGTTTGCGCAAGACTCTCTGGTGAACCAACTACTGCACGCGTAGAACTCTTTACTCAAAACGCATACTTTGCCTTCCAAGTCATTCAAGTTTTCTTGGTTGTCACTATCGCATCATCGGCATCATCGGTTTTGTATCAGCTCATCAACAGTCCCACTGGAATTCTTTCCCTTCTTGCGAACAAATTGCCCAGTGCTTCCAACTTCTACATCTCTTACTTTATTGTCCAAGGTTTGACTGTGGCCGCTGGAGTCATTTCTCAAGTTGTTGGATTCTTCGTCTTCAAAATTCTCTACAAGTTCTTGGCCAGTACTCCCAGAAAGATGTACCAAAAGTGGACCAGTTTGAGCGCAATCTCATGGGGCAGCACTCTTCCAGTGTTCACTAACATTGCTGTGATTGGTATTACTTACTCATGTATCGCGCCACTTGTTATGGGTTTCGCTACTGTCGGTATGAGTCTGTTCTATCTAGCTTACAGATACAATATCCTCTTCGTGACCGACACTCAAATCGATACCAAGGGTCTTATCTATCCGCGTGCTCTCCAACAACTTCTCACCGGTGTGTATCTTTCGGAGCTTTGCTTGATTGGTCTTTTCGCCATTGGTAAAGCATGGCCACAAATGATCCTCATGATCATATTCCTCATTTTCACCGCTTTGTACCACATTTCTCTCAACGCAGCCATGGGTCCACTTCTGCACACCCTCCCTAAGACCCTCGAAGCCGAAGAAGAATCTATCCGCGGCGAGCTCGAAGCCGGTATGAGCGGCAGCCCCATCGTCTCTCACGAGAAACATGACGAGAAGAACGGATCCAGCGACCTGACTCCTCACTCCAAACCCCCAGGCGGCATCTTTGCTAAATTCTTTAAACCCCATATCCATTGCGATTACGCTAGCATGCGCACGCTGGTTCCCCACGGCAACTTCGATCCTGAAAATCTCTACGATGATGTCACTGCTCGAAACGCATACTTTCCTCCCGCTGTTGTCTCTGAGGCACCGCTTTTATGGATTCCAAGAGATCAGGCAGGTATCAGCGCACAGGAGGTGGCTCACACGAGTAAGATTATTCCAATCACTGATGAGGGATGTACGCTTGATGAGAAGAATAAGTTGGTTTGGGATGTTGAGGGGGCGAGACCACCGCTTTGGCAACCAAAGGTTTTCTATTAAATTATGAATGGAGAGAGAGGGAGGGAGGGAATGGCAAGGTGGAGGATTGTTGATAATGGATCCTTCAGGATCTAAATTTCATGAAATGAGATTGGATGCGATGAGTTAAAATGATTTTTATACCCCGGGAAATCGAACGGAACGGAACGATAAATAAATACATAGACGGATGAGGACGGAGTTGGTAGTGTTTACCATGCTCTTTAATGTTTTCTACTTTAATTTGGTGGAGGTTGGGATGGATGCATGGATATCAGGATGAAAAGAAAGAAGCTTTGTTCTCTCGAATTTGAATCTGGAATGTTTGAGTCTTGAGATGGCGAGAGGGAGTACGAGGTAGATATCTAGTTAGATACCCCAAGGTCTGAAAGTGAATTTTTTTTACACAAATTCTTGGCATTTCAATGAGATCTGATGTGAAGTAATGATATGTTGTTGTATCGATCAATCATCCATATGCTTGTAGAATTTTCATCGTTTATATATATGTTTATACGTGATACATACATGCCCATTCACTTTCTCGTCAAGAAGGGGGGGGGAGGAGAGGAGTGGAGTAAAAAGTGTTGTGTTACTTGAACTCTATGGCAAAAGAGAGTGCAGAAGCGAGGGGGGATGGAGGAAGCGAGTGGTGAGGAGGAAGGATTGGAGAAGCGAGAAGCGAGAAGGAATGAAAAGCGAGAAGGAACGGAGAAGCGAGAAGGAATGAGAAACGAGAAGCGAGAAGGATTTTGAGAGGAAATATCGAAGCGAGCGGCGAGGAGGAAGGAATAGAAAGGCGAGAAGGATTGGAGAAATGAGTAGCGAGGGTATGTAGGGGAATGGAGAAGCGAGGAGAGGAGAAGCGAGAAGCGAGAAGCGAGAAGCGAGAAGGAAGAAGGAAGAAGGAAGAGAGGGACGGATGGATATATGATGACTTGTGTGACGGATAGATTTCTGCTTGTTTGTGTGTAGGTGGACTCTTGGGATACTTTGTTTATGGATATGGATTTATGGATTTATGGTTGTAGAACTAGGTATTACTAGATAGTTAGATGTTGAGATATTGAGGTATCTAATTATTTGTTTGTTTGTTGATTTCAATGAGATTTCCGAATGAGATTTCAAGAATATGGTCATGAAGTATTGCCACAATATGCTAAGTAGCTCTGCTATGCATTTCGTGCTTCGTATCTAGAAAATGTGATGTTTAGATATATGTATGTATGCATGTATGAAAGATGTAACTTTGACTCGTTCTCTCTCTCCTCTAAAGATCTGTTCAGATGGGAATGATTGATTTCGAGCGACATCATGATGGCGAGGAGGATTTTCCGCTTAGTATATTCATTTGAATGAAATGATATGATATGACTATTTGTCAGAAATGACTTGTAGTCTTCCAATACGGGGTAGAATGGATAATAGATATCCCACTCATTTCATAGTGATTACTCCCACTCGGTAATCCCTCGCTATCCGTCCTTCCAATTTGCATTTATAAAATTAGGTCTTGTTCCATCCACACAAACCAAAAGCAACTCCCTAACCCAAAGGCTTGACCTTCTTCTTTTTCTTCTTCTCCCCACCCCCCGCTCCACCCCCTTTCTTTGCAAATTCCCTCCAACTTCCAATTCTCTCCTCCCTACTCTCCTCCCACTTAACCTCACTATCCCTCTTTCTCTTCCTCTCCTCCCTCTCCTCCTCCACTCTCTTTTGTTCCCTTCCCTCCTCCTGCATTTGCGCCTTCACCTGTCTCCTCCTCCTCTGCTCATTCTCAATCAACACAAATTTTGTTTTCTCTCTCCACTCCCTCCTAAACTCCTCACTCGGTTCCTTCACCTCCGCACTATCTCTATTCAATCCCTTTTCGCGCATCACCAGCATTCGCGCATCGGCAATCGCTTCGTCTAATCTTTCACGATGTTTCTCATCCATTAACTCTGTTTGTGCTTTTTTTAACCGATCGAACGCATCTGGGGCGAGGGGATTGCGCGTTTTATCCGGATGGATCAAGAGGGATTTTACACGGTAACATTTTTTGATATCTGATTCGCCGACACCGGGTTGGAGGTCGAGGACTGCGTAGCTGTGTGATTTTGTTAGTTGATATGTTTGGGTCCTTCCGACTTATGTTCAATGTCGTTCATTTTCTTTCATTGAGATAATTCTGAGGAGGGGAAGACATACGCATCTAAACGAAAAGCTTTTAATATCCTGTCGATTTCAGAATCCTGTGCAAATCAGTAATCATTCATTCTTTCACTCATCTTCAACCGCGATCCCAAAGCATCTCCAAAAACAACCCATCCATATACCTCCCCCAATCGTCTCCCCAACCCTCCCCTATCCCCAAAATAAGAAACATACCTTCACAAACTCCTTCGCCTCACTCTCCAACCCTCCAGCGCATCCAAATCATCCTGCGCATCTCCATCTGCATCTACATCTTCCTTCTTCACCACCACCTCTTCCTTATCCTCTCTCTTCCATTCCCCTTGCGTATTCTTCACCTCATCCCCCTCATCCCCCTCCCTTTTCACCCTCTTCGCATCCGGACTCGTCGCCGTCATTATCTATTCCGCGATTTCGATTTCGATCTCGATTTCCCAGTATATAATTCCAACACAATCAGATCATCAAACCTCTTATCGAAGAAAGTAAGTCGTGCAGAAGAATCGAGATTGGTGAAAAGGTCAAAAAGGTGAGGTACTTGAAGAATTGAAGAATGAGGTTGATAAGATTAAGAGATTGAGATAGCAGCTTTGGATTGTCGAGCTAGCGCTCGGGCCATTACTTAAGGATGCGGGCAAGGCGGGCCGGTTGACGCTATGTAGGTGTGTATTTTGTTGTGTGGCTTACATAAGTTTTGAGGGTGCTCCCGGTGAGGAGGCTTGATGATTTGATTTAATTCCTGGTGAGAGGACGAAAGTTTGTCAGATTTCCACACAGGTAGCTACGAGGTACACACATACCTAGGTGCCTAAGGTCACTCAGAATAAATTTGGACATCTATGGGAACCTGGAATAAACAGTATTTTCATTCTCATTTCCATACCAAATATCCACAAGTCCCGATCTTGCTAAACGCCATACGTACATACATAAATACATCTAGACATTTAAGTGCACACTTGCATATCCATGCCACCAATACCACTTCACATGAATCCATTTGACCTTTGCAAAAGGATTTTCTTCTGTCATTCCTCACATCAAATCCACTACTCTCCTCAAATGTTATGTCACTATCATACCATGCCATAATTTGTGATATGACATGATATTATGAGAGCTCGTGTGAAACCCTCACAAGAAATAATCCGCCACCGGTTTCTTGGCCGGCATGCCCCTTGAATCCTGCGGCGCCGCGTGGAAAACCCTATATCTTCTGGCCGGTCCACTCAATGCTACTTTTTCTTTCAATAACGGCGCATTAGCACCATTCCCTCTACTAACTTCTCCATTACTCCTTGCCATAATTCCATTTCCTGTCCCATCCTCTCCTAATTCCATAATTGCTGCTACATTTCCACATCTATAGCAGTAATTTGGCGCAGACCATACTGTAACAATACTGTGATCGAAAGTCTCTTTGAACCCCTCCATTACTAACTGATGGGCTCGAGCAATCATTGAAAGGTCGTTTGTATGGTTGAACATTTTGACGATATCGGCTCCGAATAAAAACCCGGCGCCACGGGGGGAGAGACCCCAGCCATCTATTTCATCAGGGTCGGACCAGAGAAGATCACACATGGCACCTTCATGAGGAACTTCTTGTTTGCGGTCTAAGAGACGGATTTTATCGACTGCTTGGATCAGAGGGGAAAGACCTCCATGGACACAGAAAACCGCGCCGGAGGGATTGCCTGAACTGCCTCCACTGTAACCTGAAGCCCCAGAGCCAGGAGCACCAAGACTGGTGGGGAATTTGCTTTGGGGGCTTGGAGAACCCTTATCTGATGAGCTCATCTCGGAATCTATAGAGGGCTTTCTTTTCCCAATCTTGTCCCTGTTTCGTAGAAATTTGTTCATAATACTTCCATCAACATTTAAAATCTCGATTTCCACATCCTCGTCATTGAATTCTTGCGTCGAGGAGGCACTGTGTTCGCCATTTGGCATAGATGTAGGTTGAAGACTATTTGATGCTCCAAGCACAATTGCACCGAGAGCAAGATAATCGAATACTTCGCAACAGTATCTCCATACATTTGCGCTTCCATACTTTCGCAAGCATTCGTCGTAAAATCCGTAAACTGTTGTAATTTGTCTAGATTCGTGATTGCCTCGAATTAAGGTCATTCGATCTGGATATCGTACTTTGAGACACAGTAGGAGGAGGAAAGATTCTAAAGAGTAGAAACCTCGATCAACGAAATCACCTAGGCAAGTCAGTCAGGATCTGCCATGAATGTCGTTTGAAAGGTCGTATCTTACCCATGAATAAGTAGTTTGTATCGGGCACATCACCACCAACCCTGAATAGTTCCATGAGATCATGAAATTGTCCATGAATATCACCGCATATCTGCATAAATTCGTCAATATCGACCCATCACTTGCGTAAACACATGAAGCCGTACCGTAACTGGAGCTGTTACTGTGACCACATTCCCTTCCTCTATCAACAACTCTCTCGCTTTATGACATAATTCTCGAACTTCTGCTTCTGGGATGGGTCGGCAAGCTCGCAATTGCGAAATGGCTCTGAATCAAAGTCAGATTGAAGTCTTTTGAAGGAATTCGTAGAAGCTGTACCTATCCAAATCACTCATCTTTCTTACTCGAATCTTCCAGTCAGGAACTTTTGGGGGGGCAATGTATTGAGTAGGATCAGATTGGCGTCTACGGAGTTTATGCAATGTAGATAGCTCCCAGATGTCGATGAGGCGCAATGTCAATCTATCGGCCGATTTGAATCTGCAACCCAGCTCATTCGAAAGAACCAAGATTCGAATCTGAGAATGTCCAATGTCTTGTGTCGGATTCGTTTCTGAATAACGCGTGAATGTTAACGGCGCATCGAGGTTCTATGGGGGCGCAAACGAGATGGCGAAATATCCTGTGTATCTCAAGGCTGAAGAAATTCACAATTCAGGAAAGAAAGACCAAATAAAATCCCGCTCCAAGTGAAATTCGAAAACAGATTATATCGCTGTTATTATAGAATTCATTGATGTTTTAATTATTATTGTTATCGAAATTGTCGGTTGAATTATAATTTTCCTCAGCCTCGAATATGATAAGGTACTGACTGACTGGTCTGATACCTCAAGATGACGCTAGTGTTATGAGTGAACATTGAAGCTCAAATTAGTCTGGGGTGGCTCGGTGGGAGCGTGGGAGCGTGGGAGCGTGGGAGCGTGGTAAATTTAGAGCCTCAGACCAAAATTATTTATTATATTACCCGATGATATCCCACCATTTTCATGTTCAACTGCGGAACCCTACGTCAATTTAAAGACAGGACTATTAGATACTTCAATTGAGATTCCATGTCAATGTTTTCACAAAAAATGAGATAACAAGTGAGGAATCTTCAACACTCGAAGGAACCCCATTGCTAACACAAATTAACAGGCACGATTCATTCTTTAAACAAAACTCACCACATTCCCTTGCAACCAAAATCAAAAAAATCATGCCGCCTCATCTTCACCCCCGCTCCAAATTCACATCTTCCCTCTTCGCAGGCACGCTCTTTGCTAGTTTCTTCGTCGTAGCACTACCGCATGTTCTTCCTTGTCCAGCACCGCGCGTCGTATATGCAGATGATGGGTCGGGATCACAGAGGCCGAGGAGGAGAAGGAGGAAATGTCCTGTTGATGAAGTGGGGGAACAGGGAAAAGAACAGGGACAGCTACAGATGCAATTGAAGACTGTGGGAGGAGATAGAGAGGGAAAGAGTGAATACAAGGATTTCAATGAGAAGATACGGGAGGAAATGGGTGGTAATAGTGGGGAATCAGATGATAAAGAGGAAATAGAAGGAAGCAGGAAACTTGCTAAGCGCGAGTGTCCGGTGCCGAAACCTGGGGGCGTACTAGGAGGAATATTGGGCTTTAAGTCGAGTGTTGATGAGAAGGGGTCGAAACCACCGTGAAAGATAAGATCATCTTTGGAAGGGTTTTGATATAGGGTGGTGAGAATTGGGGACTGGCAGGATTGTATATATGGTGCGGTTGTACATATTGTGTGCTACTCTGTGTACTTTATGATCTGATATCGGGTTCACGAACCCACATATTGTGGATAAACAAATGAAATATTCGGATGCATGTGGAATTGTGAATCCACAAGACACCCACTCGGCATGCCGTCTATTGCAAGAGATGAAAGGAAAAACGCTTCACGTTCTTGGAACGTTCAAATACAACGGCTCTCTACTCTTTACCTTGAAGTGTTCTCGCAATCTTCACTTCAAAATGAAAATCTGCAGAGCCCGTAGTGCATTCCAAGCATTTACAGAATAAAACTTCCAATAGCCGATACATGTTTGCAATTGAGGTGTTTCTGTCAGTCATTTGCCAATCATGCACATCAAACTAGGTTCCCTATCACTCAAAATATCTCACTAGTTCACCAAATGAAAATTGTGTCGGAGAAGGAAGGAGCCGCCTACCTTTTACACAACTTCTCCTTTTGCATTCCACTAAGCGAACGCAAAATTCAAAACTCTCCATGCCAAATATTTCTCGACAATTCAATACCATATCACATATTTAATCAACAGCCCGAAGACAAATCACATACTTTTAGCGATTAAAATGTTTCATTGTCATTAACGCAATGCCAGATTACGAAGGGGATCTACAGCTAAGCGGACAAGTTCGCAATGAATTTACGTAGTCACTAATGCTCCAATTCTCAAGCACCACGCAGATTGAATGGTTGGAAATTAAAGTGAAAGTCAGATTCTATGGCCAACACAATCATCCTATTACTTTACAACGCCAACATACAGAGAAATCCACGCATATAATAACCCATAGATACTGATATACTCAATATGACTCACAGTTCACCCACCCATTTCATTTTACCATCATACGGATTTACCTCCTGCTTCCTTGGTACCATGCCAAATTGATCCGGATCCTGAAGATGATCGGAATTCTGGATTTCGTCCCAATTTGGGGCAACTGGCATGTATGAAACAACGTCATCCCAACTGGCAAAGTCGCCTTCCTTTGTTCCATCATATCCAGAGACACTAGCAAGTAAAGCTCTTCGGAAATCATCTTTGGCTTTCTTGGCATCTACAGACATTACATAATACGGTCCCTTATGCTTGTTAAGCTTCGTAAGGTAAGCATTCGCATCAGCGACTCCGTGTATGTTCTTGAACCACTCGTCAATGGTCATTCCCATTACGTTAGCTGCTGTATTGGCTGACTCGAGGTTTTCCTTGTCTCTCTTGCTGTCGGATGCCTTGTGAACCCAAGTGTTATGGTCCGTAGGGTCAAATCCAGGGATTGATGTTTTTTGGATAAGGTCATCTAAACTGAGACCGTTGGATTGAGCCCAGCTCAACATGGACAGCTGTTTTGCCATTTCAAGTTGCTGTTCTTCCAGCTCTTTTTCTCCCTTTTTCGACGCAGCTTCGGCCTTCACAACATCACCAGGTTGAACTCCGTCTTTAACAGCTGCAGCGTGTTGTCTGTCCTTTCTTACTTGTTTCTCTTTTGACTTATACTTATCGGCCAGCTTCAAATAGATTTTCATATCCCTTGCATCTTTCTCTTCCTTTGCTTTGATTATCAATCTTCTCTCTTGTTCTTTTCGATCGGCTTCTGTCATGGGTGTAAATCCGAGTGCACCTCGTTTCCGTCTTTCCGCAATGCGTTTTCGTTTCAATCTTTCAGATGCATTTTGGTTATTCAAGGCTGATGTTTCCTGGACTTCTTCATCTAAACGATGTTCCTCCCTGTGTCTCACTATTGCTTCTAGTGCCCACCTGTTTGCAGGTAATGTCAAGATTGTTGAAGGAGCGAGACCCGCAATGGGGTCTTTTATGGGCGGAATTTGAATTTCGTGCGCATCCTTCCTCTGTTCATTGAAGAACACTCTCAGACGCTCCAATTCCCGAACTCTTCGTAGGGCTTCTCTTGCTTGTGCCTCAGCTTCGGCGTCAGATGCTGGCTTCCACAGATCAAGTTTCGTTGGTTTTGATCCAGGTGCGGGCCCTTCGATTTCTTTGACTCCCTTGTTTATTTCATCAACCAATTCCTGTACACCCATTTCAAGCTTCTCTCCTTCTCGCTTTTCAATTTCCGCTATTTTCTCTTTTTCTCTTTCTTCTATGTTTTGTCGGAATCTTTTGGCATCGGGTGGGAAATAGCCATCATTATCAGCCTGTCGTTTCAAACTCTTGGCTTCATATGCAGTTTGCTCCTCTTCGATTTCATCAAAGAATCGTTCATGGAATATTTCAGAAGATTGTGATTGTACCTTTTCGGCATTATCTTTATGACTTTCCCACCATTGGTTTCTCTGATCGTCGGTGGGACCATTCGAAACGTCTCCATAGTTTGGGGGGAGTCCTCCCCATGCTGTATCACTGGTTGGCTCAACCATTTCTGACCTAAGCCATGAATGGGCAAGAAACGTCTCTTGAAAATGAAGCTGTGCGGCTACCCACTTAAGCTCAGCTTCTGGGCTCTCAAATGGCAAAGGTCCAGGCGCTCCCCAGTCCTCATTCTCCTCAGATTGAGCATAGTAATCCAGAAAACCGCGGTGCGACATGAGTTTGACAGCGCAGGGATCCGGTATATTTGTGTTTCTTGCTGGTTTTGCGTTCTTCCATCTTATCCACTTGAGATCTTGCTCTCCTTCGCCCTCGTCATCTTCCATGATTTTTCCCACAATTGCATTCTGCCAGTAGTATCCGGCGGCAACGCCAAAGTATTCATCTCTCAAAGTTTGTCTCAATGAGCTCCATTGTCGAGACCAATCTTTTGTGCTAGCATCAGCTGGCTGTAAGTAAAATCGACCGCCAACACCATGCCAAAAAGATACTCCACCACCCTCGCTTTGTATGATAGCGAATTCTGGCAATGGGCCTGCAATTTCGCCTTTGGAAACTGCGATTCCATTGATTGTTAGAAGTCTTCCGTCCAGATTAGCCACAAAGTATCTATGCTTCAAATCAGAATCTTTGTCAATTTCATCATTCCAAAGCCTGACATCTTTCGGTAGAAAAGATTGTGTTTCATCGCATTTTGGAGGGTAGTTTCGAGGTGGCATATCTCGATAATACTTTTGCTCAGGCGCAACCCACCAAGGATCATCAAATCTCATGGGTCTGTATTCCTTCTCCTTCATTTTGAAGGATGGCTCGATAATGTTGTCTTGGCCTCGGGGTTCAACTGCCTTTGGACGCTCTTCGCCGGGATTGATCGGAGTTGGAATTGCTTCGCATCGCCTAATGTCCAAGGGGAATATGTCCGGGTTTTGGTAGCTGTTGCTATTCTCGAAGGATTCTCTGTGATCGCGATCTTCAATTTTATCTAGAGTTTGTTGATATATGTTTTTGATTGGAATATTGAAGATGGTGCCTGTTACTTTATCCCAAAACTTTTTGATCTTCAAAAGTGATCCGTGGTCTTTGGGTTTAAGCATGTAAGGTACATTGGGCTGGTCATCATCGGGCATTTTGACTTTGCTTTGTGCGTATCTACAGAGAGGGCGGAGAAGCTATGGTTTATTTTATCAGTGGGATACTTTCCAAAGCAGAGAGAGAATCATACAGGATAAGGACTTCTTCCGCAATCCACACCACCATCAATCTCAAACTGAGAATTTTTTAAGAAAGCATCCGGTTCCTCATCCATATCAACCTTAACATGATGTTCTCCGACTTGCCTTGGTCGCCAAACACTGTTCTCAATGGGATCGTAATATTCTTGAAAAGTCTCGTCGTCTTCATCTGGGACAGCGTACTCGATAAAATTCTTCATGGCGAAGAAACCTCCACTAGATCCATCATCTTCGATTGGAAATGGCCTTGTGAGGTCATTAGGATTAAAGTTTTCGTCATCCTCTTCATCGCCATCGTCAGGCTCACGATCAATAGCCGTCGCGGGTGTATCGCTCTCAGGTTTTCCCGGGCGCGCTTTATCAATGTAATCCTGAGGGTCGGGCTTTTCCATAATCGTCGGATCTAATTCTCCTCCGTACGCTTGCGTAGTGATATTGTAATGTGCTTGCTGCCATGAGAGCTCAATATATCCCACGCCCAGTCTCTTGTTTTTCTCCATGCGATCTTTGAATTCATCAACGACGGCAGGACTCGTCCTTTTCATTGCGAATTCGATATACTTCTCCTCTAGACTTTCAGCAGGTCGATATGTTTCATTCCAATTGGGTCGACTGGTTAATTTGCATCGACGAACTTCGGGTAATTCTTCCCATTTAGCGAGAGCAATAGCGTACTCGATGGAACCAGGCTGAGCTTCAGGTTTAGGATCTTTCTTCCAGAATTCCGAGCCGAGAAGCTCCTCGACCCGTTCTTGCAAACTCAATGGTAGTTCATCACGGACGTATTCCATAGTCAAAGGTAGATACTCCGGCGCCCATTGCTTGTAATTTTTGAAATCCTCCCATTTAGGTGCATCCCAATTGCGTCGTTGCCATTCGGCCAGCGCTTCACAAAACTCTATATATCCATCTCCCAAATTCCGATTTTGCTTAAATAGCGCCTTGAGATTCTCAGTTGCACGTTCTTTCCATTCTCTCCTTCCTTGCGCTATCTCAGAAATACTCGTTTCAAATTGTTCGAGCGCTTTAGCTTCCGTCCTATACGGTTTTCCTATCTTCACCTTTTTCCTCCTGTGCTGTCTTCTCCCTGCTGGTCCCTCAAAGGGAAGCTTCCCCTTCTTTTTCTGTTGCTTGATATAAGCTTCCCATTCCGCATAGGCGCGCGCAACCCACACTTCATTCACACGTCCTTCCATGTAATGATTATTCCAAATATCCCACGCGCGTTTCCAGGATTTCCACACCTCGTGTCCGTCCCCGGAATAATTGAGTGCATATGGCGATTTGTACTTCCCCGACCCGAGAAGAAAATCTCGCACATCTTTTATGACGGAGGGGTGAAGGTTTTCGGCTAGGGGGGAAGGAATACGTGTTGCGGGGATGGGAGAGATGAGGGGGATCTGGTGGCGATTTTCGCGCATGCGGTGCAGGACGGCGGGGGAGGAGAGGAAGGGGGTAAAATCATAAGTAGTGTATTTGTTTTGGACGACGGTGAGGGTGGGTTTGTTGCGGGGGTCGATGACGGCCTTTGGGTCTGGGGCGGGTTCGGGGGGTGGAGGGGTGGGAGTGCGCGACATGGTGATTGGTTGTGGATTGTGGAGAGGTGATGTGATGTGATGTGAGGTTATATTAGGGATTGTATGATTAGATTCCTAGTGAAAGTGCGAGATGAGAAGATGTAATCTGATGAGTACACGATTGAGAGGAAGTTGAGCATGCGATAGGTATGAATAGCATCGACTTCGAAACAAAACGCAGTTCATGCAGCATGCACGAGTTTTCACGGGATCAATAAGATTAGAGAAGGAGAAACAAGGTGAGGGTTGAGATGAAAGAAGCTTTGAAGGAAGTTTGACGCAAAGGAAAACTTTGAGACATTTTCTTTGCTGAGGTGCTCCATTCTTTGCCCATTGATGATAATTCCGTATCCGTCAATAGAGAGGGTTAATAGTTTGATGCTTTAGCTATACTTGGACGGAAAGGGATTAGTGCTGGGTGTGAGGAATGTTGGGGTCGAGGGGGGGGCTGCGAGTGGTAAAGTGCCGTATTGGAGTAGATTGGAGTACAAAGGGGAAGCTCATGATCAAAGGAAATTTGAGGAGATGGAAATTGGGGATTATGAGATATGTATATGTATGAATGTATGTGAATTTTCAGGAATTCTGACACTTTTTGGGTAATTAATTTTAGACGTTCTAAACGTTGTTCTGAAATTCAACCTCGAATGGCAGGGTTACATCAGAAAAATCAAGCTGGTTCACTGAACCTGCAATTCGAGTTAAAGTAAGTAAGGACTACCTGGGTATTCACTCATTAACAGATACCCAATAAAACGGGAAAATAAAACACATTTTCAATTATTCCAATCGCTGTCCGTGAAATATGTAGAAAGTGAGGGGTATCTGAACACATAAGAATTACATTAAATTTTGATTTCGCTCCGTCCTGCAATTGTCATAAGCCTACACCATTTTCGCTATATCGGTCCATTACATGGAAGACTAGCTGGTTGTCCACATTGCAATCCATACCGGGCACGCAGCCCAATTCTGCGCGAACTACGGCGGGGTCGCCACCGGCCATGGTCGTTATCATATCGGTTGCAAACACGCAACTGTTCAGGTTGGTTCCGTTATTCTCGGAAGGTATGTTTGTGTTATATGTTGATGATATGGGAGGTGACATTTGATGAGATGAGACTGATGAACGAGAATTGGGATTCGAATTTGTGTGAGATTGAAGATGGGAATGCATTTGAGGGGTCTGTGGGGAAAGTGTGTTGTACGATTGATTTGATATGTATTGCGACTCGAATTCGTAGATTTGCGGAGATTGAATGGAGAGACTCGATGGTGTGTTCTGCTGTTGTGAGTTGGGTAATGTTATTGGTGTCATATTGAATCTTTGTTGCTGTTGCTGTTGCTGTTGCTGTCGAATGTGGACAGTTCCAGCCGTGCTATGATTTTGGCTGATACTGCTATGCCGACTTGCCACACTACTTCTTCTTGGACTCATGAATTGTTGCGCCTGTGAAAACCCTTTGCCGGTCGATGTTGGTGTCTGTCCTACGCTCATACTCCGCGAGGGCTGCACTGGGTCCCATACCGAATGGACAGTGTTTCCACTGTAAGAACTCTCTCGACTTTGAATCGTCCGCCCCATCGTTGTTGTACTCGTTGGGCCAATACTTCCATCTGCACAACATAATTTTCTCGCCTGAAGTAATTGTTCTAACTGTTGTACCGAAGGACTTTCATTCCCATATTGCGCCGATATCATTAAATCTTCAGAACTCATTTGTAGATATGTTTCCACCATTTCATTTCCTACCCCATGTTGTGCCAGGAGACTTCGTAATTTCTTGTTCTCATCTGCTACTCTTCTTGCTGCCAGCTGAATTTCGGAAGATGCTTCAATACCTTGGAGTTCACATTGGCGCAACCGTGCCTCGAGCTCTTGAAGGTACTCTTTTCTTCGAGCGCGGGATCGTCTCTGATTGTCTCGTATGCGCGCAAGGTTCGCCTTTTCCTAGAACATATAATTAGACTTCAGATCGATCAATGTACAAGTTATTGATGGTATGTTGAGAGCTTGTCTAGAAAGGGCGTGTGGTGCATGTGCATATGTCAAATGTCAAACGTCAATTGAGCTTGATAATATCTTGGCAGTTGATCTCTCTTCGCACTCTCCAATTAAAGAAAGACGACTCCCAAAGGATGAAGCATTGTTTACTCACCGCAGCCGTCGACATGATGGATTATGGAGTGGTCAAAATCTTGGGGTATTTTACTCATTCCAAGTAATGCGCAATTGATTTGATTGAAATGATTGCGAACTATCAATAGCCGCATCCCCTGTTTAGCGCGGCTTGGATTTGAATGTTCCCAATTTTTCACACGCGTAAAGTCTCCTTTGGCATGGATCTGAAACGGCGAGTATAAAGTTATAAGTAGATGGAGGATAGAGACTGGTTCGGCAGTTGCGATTATATATAGCTATGCAGTAGTATATGGAGTATTGAATGCAATATCTGACCCCTATGTTCCTCGATCTGGCTGTTCAGTATGGCCTTTGTAGAGTTAACATCTTTTCTCTAGCTCGTAGCTATCATGCGCCTAAAAGCGTGGCTGTGCTGTGCGTGCTGTGCGTGCTGTGCTAGAAGTTGTTGTTGGGAAGAGACTGCTAAGTGCCGGCAGGGAGTATGTTTTAAATAACAAGCTTTACTCCGTCTCCATGGTAGAAGGTATATGGCATCTGGCATATGGCATGTACGAGAAATGGCATTGGTGGCATTGGTATTACTTCATGAAACCCCTTCAAAAGAAGAACACCTACCTGCCTAGTACGAAGTATACATTAATGAATTTGTGTTCATAGGCCAATCATGGCGATGGCTGTGTATAACCAGATTCTGGAAAAGGATAAGTCCCTAGTCCCTGGGTAAGCAAGGAAAAGCAAAGCAAAGCAAGGTCAACAAGGTAGTTGTGGAATAAAGCATAAAAGAAGCATCAATCATAATAAAAGAAGCCTCGAACGGTCTCCGGGATTTATCCATCAGAACCTTATTTCTCAATCAATCGGGCGGAGTTAATTTACCCGGTCGGCATCTTCGTGTAGAAATTACCGAATTGAGCGAATGGGTTGAAGACAAATATATACATACTCACCTGCCTACCTTGGTAAATGCTCACTCTCACAGTCTGTCCTAAACGCTTCAAAGAACCAGAAGCTCATCCCACTTCTTTCTTATACAAGCATGTATGTATATTGATATTCCCAGCCCGGCAGAATGGCCTAGGTCTTTTATTGAAATAACTGCAAACTCAAGACTGGTTGAACAAACTTCGGGAGTTCTAATACCGGTAACCTTAACATTTACCTTTTGGATCCAATGTCAAACTGGAAATCAGATCATTGCTTTCTTTTCTCCTTTTCCACTTTCTATTTTTGTTTTGAAGGCTTGGAGTTAAACTTCTTACAGCTATTCGGGATTCTCTAGTCCTTTCAATGTGTGGCCCGGATCAACGGAATCGATCCCATTTGCTCGAGATGTGCCGCACTCATTCCTACCCGTCAAAAATCGTCCGAAACATCTGAATCACTGTGTAACCTTTAAATCGACATCGACGATCATGTCACATTTTACAATCTGGGGTTCAAGATCTCTAAGTGGAGATATCACAGAACTTGAAGTGATAGGATCTGTCGGTTTGGCGACCTTCGGGTCAATGCAATATATTGTGACTATATTCTATCCGTGTCACACACCACTACACACCACTACACATTAGGGTCGGTAGAAAAGAAAAGAAAGACTCTGTACTTCAATGGTATCCCGTCTTGACTTTTCGTGATCTATCGTAATTCTCCCTCTACCTCCAAGATATCAATGTTTGTTTGGTAAGGGGCAACTTTATTTCACTAGTGAATCTGTGAGTACAGATTCAAATGGCCATATCGAACATCTCTCCAATTGTATGCATAGGAAGCCCGCCAATATCTTTTTCTTGGGCGCAAATCTTTATTCACATGTGAAGAAACTGTCACAGGATCAGTCGTCTATTCTTCGATCCGGATATTGCCGAGAACGCATGTAGAGTATACACTCAAAGTCTGGCAAAATTCTGACTGAATTTAGACACTGTTTTGAATTGTCAGTGACTATATTTACACGCGAAAACTTGTTGTGTAGTTGATTCGATTGTCATTGACAGCACATGCAGATTACATATGTATGCACGACTGTATAGTAAGCAAAATATTTTTCGTGAATACCGGGTTATCAGTAGTCGTCCCTAATTAACGCACTTCTTGCGCCACACTTTCGTTCCATCCAAAAATTGAGTATTGTAGAATTCAATTATAACATCGAATTGTGGTTGTATTTCTCAAAAACATCGTCAGATATATCGGTTGTGCGAAGAAAATGCGGTTGGAATTTGAACATACGGGTAGAATACTCCTACTTCTATTTCAAACATAAACACAAACACCAGTTTCGTTTGCCGAAACTGCCAATAATGCCTCCTGGTATATAGATGCGGAATACTTTATCTCTCTCGTTGGAACCAAGTAAAGACATGAATCCACACAGAGATTATTCTATGAGTTCGGTTGAGAAAATGATTTTAACAGCTGTATGGTACACCGGCAGGTGGAGTATCTACCACTCAGATATTTATTGTTCTTTAAGAGAGCATAAAGCATTGTTCTCATTATCATTTGATACTGTGATTTAGTCTATTCGCCGTCGATATTCAATCTTATTACCGGCGTCAGAGTCTCTAAATAAGGAATTACCTTTCATCCTCAACGTCGTTGTCTTTCCTTATACAACCAAGAGGCTTTGAGATCGTCGCAGCTGACTTAGTACGTTATCAACGTGAGTCGAAGCAATTTGCCCCTGAAATGCCAAGTGTTTAGTCGGTATTCTTTATATTGTCCTATTTTAGTAAAATATGATCAGATGGCACGCATAGATTATTGGCTTAGAAATTATGTTGTACGAGAAGAAGGTCAGTAAATGTCAACGAGCTAATATGTGTTCGAAGATGGCTCGATGTGCATTCGTAGGATT